AATCAAAGTAGTAGTCCTTGGACGTCATATCTACTGTCTTGGCTTTCTTCTCTGTGTGTCCGTCTCCCTGTCCGACATCTCCATTCACTGGTACTATAGCTGCTTGTGTCTAGCAAATCAAGAAGAAGAAAGAAATTCACATGAACAAAGGTTACTCAATATGATATTGAACGTAGTTAACCACCACCTACTTAAAGATGAAGTTGAGTTCTGGTCATGCGATTGCATTGTGAAAGAAACGGTGTGGAATCGACCAGAAAAGGTTGATCATCTATAGAATATGAAGGCATTTGAAGAACCATGCTTTTCAGGGAACATGTCTTATCTGATGTTCTTCCACACTTGCATAATAAGAATGATAACGCTCACAAATTATTTTTCACCTCTTCCCAACCTCAACCTTATCTTTAAGTCCATCTTTAAGTACATCCATACAATTCATTGGCCATTCAAAAGATCTATCAGAACTTGCCGCCTTTTAAAGAATAGGAATTATAACATGATTAGTTTTTGTTTCTGATCCCCTAAATCATGAATGGACAATTTTTTTCATTCTCTCTTATTCTTTCCTTTCATCTCTCTGTTATCATTATGGTAAACAGCAAAGTGAAGGAAACAGCATCCATGTGGTAGTCCAGGGTCATTCCAACGTACAGTAGGGACGCTGGTCCAAGAATAAGGATCATCCGCATAGATGAAGATCGTCTTCGTAAACGAGGACGGACGCATCCACTAAAATAAGGATCGTCCGCATTTTCGCTGACGATTCTGATTTCTGATCCGCCCATTGGCGATGCGAAACAGGAATTCTGCAATGATTTCTTGATGTATTTTACATCAATTTTGTACAGAGTTTCACGTTATGAGCGATAAATCCCTGGGAAGACAAAGAACCTATAAAAGTGAACGGTGAACTGGGGGGGTATTTCATTACGCGGAATCCGTATGTCTCATTGCCAGCGCCAGATCGGGAACCCGAAACCCGCAGAGCATCAAAGACAAAAATAACAGCGAAAAATGTGCACGATCCTGATTTATTAGGACGCCTTTTGCTGTGTTTACAAGGATATCCTTGTTTATGCGGACGATCCTCAATTCTTAGCCAGCGCCCCTACTAATGTAAGGGTACTGGGCACTCTTTTGAACTAGCAGTAGGGTAGAGTGCCCAGTATTCGGTCACTTAAGGGGAAATCACTAATATTTTGAATTCTTACCTCTTTTATTTGGCAATCTACCCATCAAAAAAAAAGAAATTTATTCCTCTGACAGGATTTTATAGTCACTTAAAATATAGAATAATGATAAGCAAAATACTTCCGAAAGAAGACGGAGCATTTTTCTGCCCAGAATTCGGTCGCCCCGATTAGAATTCGGTCACGCGATTTGTGCGTGGTATCTCTGTTGCGAAGGAGCGTAGCGTATTTGCGCACTATTTTCACACAATTGCGCGATAAAGCACTGAATGTCAATGCGTTGACCGAATACAGGCCGAGCGATACCGCATGGCAAGGGTATCGTATAAATACCTCTTGCACATCTGCAAGTGCATCATTTGCAAATTCGCTGCGATGGAGCGAACACGGAAGTGATTCTCTTCACACACATACTAAATTCATTGTGACAGCACACGTAGTTAGACTTATACATATGGCTATGCATGTTAGCGCATGTGCTAAGAGAACGCGGAAGTGCGGAAAGTTGTGCGACACTGACCAATTTCGAGCTAAGTTGGAGATCATTTCGGGGCCCTAAATCTGATTTAATTTTGAGAGTTAAGAAAAATTGTTCAGCTGCCTGATTTGTGCAAGTTTCGTGGCTCATAAATTATTTTTTAAATTGTTACAGCTATTGAAACGGCTGTCTGACCGAATACTGGGAATTGACCGAATACTGGGCGCGCTACCCTAGCACAAACTCTTTTTGCAAGTGAATTTCTTATGATTTATGCTGTCTTAAACTAGTCTTAGAATAACTCTCTCATAAAAATATATGATGGATCGTATAGATTGATGGGCAAGCTGAGAATACAATAATTCTCAAAGATTAAGTAAAGCTATATCTTGGGTCGAGGTTTCATTAAAGTTCCATGCATTACACTCAGTCACAGTGCACAGCATGCATGCAGCACCCGCGCCGCTCACTCAACACACGCTCACAGTCACACATCAAAGCTGCACGCTGCATGCACGACATGCAACAAAGGAAAGAATACCTTGTACCACATATTGAAATTCGCGTACTGACGCGAGAAGGAAAAAAAAAGCAACCCACATTTATTTTTGGAAGAATACACACATCTCAATAAAATGAATTTCAAACACACAACAACTTTCCAAAAAACTTCAGATACAATTCGTTGCTACATACCTCCATCTGTTCTGACATTCTTTAGTTTATACGGATAAGATTCTGGCAGTCGACGGCAATCAATGAATGAAACAAGCACAAATTAAACATGTGCGTAAGAAATAAATTAAATGTCAGAAAATAAAGAGCGCCCTCTACGTCAAGGAGTCGATGACAACGACGACTTCTACTTCTATGGTGATACCATAGAGCACGGGTGGCCAACCTTTTAAAGCTCGCGGGCCACAGCTAATGATTGGCCTAACTTGGCGGGCCGTAGGTAGTCTTCTACCCCCCCCCTCCCCCCTCACACACACACACACATTCAATACGTGTACACACCTGCAACTTTGCACACACAAACACAAGCAAACAAAAAAATCAGGCTTTTTTAGTGTGATTTATGGGGCTGCATCCCCGGGCTGCATCTCATTGAACGCGATGTAAAGAAAGGGGACTATCCACTTTACGATTAAGATACATGAGAAAATTCAATGGCGGGAGAAAAGGGTTGTAAGTTTCAAGCCCGGGGGGGGGGGGGAGGGGGTCACTTAGATTTGGTTTGGTCGGAGATGTGCCGCTCAAGCCTCGAAACCCCTACCCATTTTAAAGGGTCGTTTAGAGGGATTTTTCTCGAAATAAGCCCCATTTTCTCACAATTTTGGGGTTTCTTTCGGAATTTTGGAAATTTTTGTCAAATAAGGGACCCATGTTTAATTTTTTTGTGTGTGAAAAAGTCACCCATTAGAGCGGCACAGCCCCATATGTCTTAATCCCCCGGGGTTTAAAGACAAGTATGGAATTTCAAACATATTTCTCGGTTCACAACATTTGTATATTTACAAACGTTACTGTGTGCGGAATTACAAACTGAAATTTACATGGAGAGTGATGTTAATGTCGTTAATGTAATGTTATGAGAGGGAAAAGTTGAAGAGTTTTGTATCAACCAAGTAACGAGTCAATATGCTGCGAATGATGAAAACAAATTATGGAAATAGAGATAGTTGTGTGCAAATGTTTTACCCTATTTCATCGCTGCTATGCGGGCCGCATTTCATTTATGAGCTATTTTGTATAATTACTTTTTCAATGCTCCGCGGGCCGCACCAGAAGAGCTCGAGGGCCGCGGGTTGGCCACCCGTGCCATAGAGATAGTTAGTATATCTCAACGCATGTTCAGCATCTAGATGAGGGTAAAGTTGAAAAGTTGTTTTCCTTTTTTAATTCGTTAAAGACGTTTTTCAAGAGAAAGACCTATATTGGCGTAGGCAAAGTTTGGCCGGGAAGCATGCGCCCACCCCCCCCCCCCTCCCTTTCCCTCTATCCCCTACTAAATTCAAGGTGCCTGCAGCCCGCACACACAAAATTAATTAAGTAACAACAACATTGGGCCTAAACGTTGCACGATCTGTCCGGATCTGTCATGCATCAACATGCAATATATTTTGCTCCACTAATTACTACGCTCCCTCGCAGAATACTCCGATGATGTAAGCATTTGCGATTTAATGATATTCCGTTACCCCTCCCCGGCCCCCCTTTGCCTATTTTAATTTTTTTTTTTAAAGGATTATGAATTACAGAATTAAACATACATTGTCCAGACAACATTTTGTTATCTCCTAAACCACGCGCATCAAATCTCGCCACTGTTCATGTATTTTTCTTCGCTCTTATCAAACAGCGACAGAGGCGGCCCTGCGGGGGTGGGGGCAGGGGGCACAGTGCCCCCACATTTTCAAGCACTCGAAAATTGCTCTTTGTCTACATAGGAATAGTGTCCCTTTTACTTTGACAAGTGCCCCTATTATTTTGCAAAAGTGCCCCTTCCCCTTTTCAACTCTGATAAGTGCCCCCTTTTATTTGGACACGTGCCTCTTTTTACTTCGACAAGTTCCAATTTTCATTTGCAATAAGTGTCAATTTTCCATTCTCATTAGTGCCCTTTTTAATCTCTAGTAAGTGCCCCTTTTCAGTACGTGAAATGCCTCTTTTCACTTTTGATAAGTCCTTCACCTCTGATAATTGCCCTATTCAAATCTGAGAGGTGCCTCTTTTACTTTGAGAAGCTCCCCTTCCCCTTTTAATAAATACCCCCATTTTAACTCGGATAAGCGCACCTTTTATTTACACATGTGCTCCTTCCCTCATAAGTGCCCCTTCTCTGGTAAATGACCCTTTTCAGGTACAAGAAGTTACTCCTTTTCACTTCAGATAATTGCCCCTTCACCTCCGATAAATGCCCCTTTAAAATCTGATCGTTGCCCATTTTCTTTCAACTAATGTACATCTCCTTTATTATAAGTGCCCCTTTTTCATTCACATTCACATGGTCATTGCCCCTTTTCAGGTGCGATAAGTGCCTCTTTTCACCCGCTGATAAGTTCCCTTTTAACAATGATACGTGCCCCTCTTCCTTTCTAATAAGGGACTTATCCCATTTTCATAAATCCCCCCCCCCCTTTCACCTCTTATACATGCCCCTATCAAAATCTGCTTGGGCCCCTTTTCTCATGACTGACTTTTACACTGTTAGAACGGTGTTTAAAATATCACTGTTTAAAAGAATGTTGTTTAAAAAAGTAAACAACGTTGTTCAAAATCGAAAAATCAGTGCTCGATTGACTTAAACAACTATGTATTAAAAGACAAAAATATTTAATTAAACAGAGTTGTTTAAAAAGTCCCGGGGGCGTCGTTGATATTCGATCGATACGCGATTGCTATTTGCGCACACACATGCGATATGCACAAAGTACGTACATAATACATGCATGCAAGCATGCAGTGCTAGTGTGTGCAGTGCAAGTGCTAGTGCAGTGCAGACGAAAATGGCGGAACAAGGGCAAGGCGACGACTTGGTTCTTCTCGGCTTCGCCGATGGGGTTTAGGTGAAGTTATAGAGACAAATAATAATGTTGTCTGTCACTGCCATGAATATGATGAACAAATGTTGAAGTAAATTGGCAACAAGCTCTGCTTGTTGCAGTGTATAAATCGTTGTGATATTGCAGGAGTGGTTCCAGTAGGTCATTTCACAAATTCAAACAACCAGATAATAACCATTAAACAGTTCTGTTTAAAATTTAAGCAACTCCTTTTAAACAACCCAGTTGTGCAGTAATACTGCATAAACAACAGTTGCTTAGTAATTTAAACATTATTGTTTAAAATTTAAACAACTTGCTTTAAACAACCGAGTTGTGCAATTTTATTACTAAACAACTGTTGTTTAAAAGGCTTCCTAATTTTTAAACAACTAAGTGTTCAAAATGTAAACAACCTTAATTTGTTTAATTTTTAAACAACGTTGAGCGATTCACCGGTTAACTCGGGGTTGTTTAAAATTTTAAACAACTTGTTTAATTTTTTTCTAACAGTGTACCATCCCTAGTGAGTGCCTCTTTTTGAGGGTGTAAGAAGTGCCCCGTTTTCACCTTTGAAAATTACTCTTTGTACTTTGACACATGCTCCTTTCCTTTTCTGATAATAGTCCCCTTTTCCTCTTTTCATTAAACACGCCCCTAATTTCAAGCGACTAAGAGCAATTTCCCCAAAAGCTCGCTTACTACGCTCGCACGCATCTATAGTTGATATACTTGTGTTACTTATCAAAGGTCTTTTCAGTCTTCCGTTATGAGAATGTGCTTATAACCCCATCAGGATTGGGTTTTTTCCTCGTTATAAGATGTAATTGTTCGCACTGCGATCTCAGAAATCTTAACAAATTTCCTTGCTCGCTCGCTCGCAAATTAATTTGAAGACCATCACACCAACTGCAAAGTATGATGCTTTATCAATATCTTGTACTGTGTACAAAGTGAGACAATATTGAAATCATCCCTGATAATGTAATCACAATTTAGGAGTATATACATATATGTTTTAGAAATTGTATATTTTCGCTTTGAGATTTTCCGTTGTAGGTGCCCTTTTTCTTGGTGCCCCCCCCCCCCCCCCCCCTTTGGAAGTCGCTCGGCCGCCCCTGAACAGCGAGGTGAAGTGAAAAGAGCCTAATCATATCAAAAATAAATATTTAGTTTGATGATTATCTCTTGTACACCCTAGCTCTTTAAGAGCATCCATAAAATTCATTGGCCTTAATTTTAAAAGATCTACTATAATTGCCGCTTTTTAAATAATACGAATTAAGACAATATTGATATCTTTTTGTTCCCGATCTCCTAAATCACCCATTCACAGTTATTTTTATTGTTTTAAATATATTAATAGAGCATAAGTTGGCATGAACAGTGAGAGTCGGAGAGAGAGAGAAAGAGACTAAGAGAGAGAGAGAGAGAGAGAGTGACTGGGAGAGAGAGAGAAAGAAGGAAAGAGATAAGCAAAGGGTATGCAATTAAAGTCAGCAGTCAGGTATGATGAAAATCTCGATCCACACATCAATTCAAATAGTTTGGCGGGAAGCCCCAAATAATATATTATATACAAAAGTAATCTTCTTTTGTTCTTCTTACGATTCAGCCAATTATTGATTAATTGCTGTTGTTGTAAGAAGAAGAGTTCTAAAGCACAAAATGCCTATGGATTTCCGGGAAAAAATAGAGGCCTATAGCAGGGAGGGGGGGGGGGCGGTAATTTCCCCCACAAAATATCGGGGCGCTTGGGGGAAGGTCATCTTGGCCCCAACAGTCTACCACAACACCTCCGCCTATGTAGTACAGAAGACACCATCAAAAAGAAACTTAAACTCTTTCCACCTTGAATCCATAATGTACATTTTGAGTAGCTAAATTTTCTTTTCGTTCATAATATCTTAATTACTGTTCCTTGTTTAATTGTTATGATTTGTATGTTTCTTTTCTGTTGTATAGCGCTCTGATCAGTTTTTCTGTAGTAGCGCTCAATAAGAATCAATTATTATTATTATTATTAACAGCTAAGATGTAGTTGGTATGGATGTTTGTTTCCTGGGATCATAATAGTGACGAGTTATTAATGACAACAATGAACTTAAAAAAAGTTTCTGCACCAGAAATCAAATAGAAGCGAACTAGATAATAGGCCCTAAATGAGGCAAAGTGGTCTTGTGGCCTATTGTGGGTAAATGATCGCGTCACAATGCGGAGATAATGGGTTCAATTCTAACCTACTTTTTTTTAATCCTTTTTCATGAATCCTTTTTTTATACCA